AATCTGTCAAAATGAATATTTCGGATAAAAATATTCAAAATTCGTAAAAATTAAAAACTACAGTTTTTTAAAATTTTTTTGTAACTTTTATTGTCAAGAATATTACTCATTTAGTAGGATTTCAACTCATTTAATAGAAGTTTAAAAAAAAGAAGGGTTTTACAATTTTTATTCCTTTTTGCGCTTTCTTGAAGGAGATAAGCAGGACTAAAATAGCGAATCTGTCGGGACAATATTTAAATTTATTAAGTGCACTTTTTGCGTTACCTTTTAACAAAATTTTAATCTTTGCTTTTGTCTTTAGTTGCAAGCAATTGTCACGCTTGTGTAGTTACAATTCCAAACTCGTCAAATCTTTATTTATATCCGATTTACATTTGAAAGCACGAAATGCAGCAAGTCTGAAGAATATTTTATTCCATTGAATCTAGTTTGGGGAGCATTTAGTAAAAATACTGCAACTTCTTTTAGCTCTGAATCTGAACTTTAACTTTTTGTGCATTAAAGCTAACGATATTGTCCAACTAAACAGTTTCGTTGTAGAAATATGAGGCAAATAGTCCACAACTGCACGATTGCATTTGCACTCGGCCGTAACAGATTTCCCCTGATGTTATATTCATAATGGTAGTTTAATCCGGGACTAATAGCGGAGTTGGCGTGATTTTTCGAACAATGTGCCCTTTGGTGTCAAGTGCAGCCTTGGTCGAAATTAAACGTCACTTGTTGCGGTCCGAAAAACAAAAGAGGTGCGCAACAAAAGTAAAGCCTAGTCGGCTAGATCTGTGTGAGGATGGTCCTAATCCGGACATATACGACCATTATGAACCCGGTCTTCGGCCACGGGGGATTACTCATACGCGAATGTATATTAAGCGGATTTTTAGATTAGCAATATAATTAAATCTAAGCCTCAAAGTGAGAAACAGTGGTTTCAGCAGTTGTGTTTATTAAATGCCTTCAGCGCAAACTTTAATCCCAGTCTGGTTATATTTTTTTAATTTGGGGGTCAATTGGCGACTCGTTTTGCAATTTTATCACGTTACATTCTGACCTATTTTTGTGTTTACAATATCCCTCGACCTCGGCTCGCCTCCGGTCTTAAAATATACTTTTGTATAGACCGGAATACTTATGTCCTAGTGTGGAGTTCGAAGTACACTCGACGACGTTCCAGTGTTTCATAAGTTCGTACTCCATGGATGGGTATTGTGTCTTTATCTGACGTAGTAATGCGCCATTGTAGAATCGAGATGAAATACGGACATGTCCTGCTTTGTCCGGAGTTATTTATATCTTAAAACCCACTCCGGAACTTATCTATTACCGCTAATCCTGCAATTATGCAAAATACTCTTCAAGGAAGCCAATAATAAATGAATCAGAAGTCACTCGAGGATTAATGACGAGCATTTTTCCCATGGCCGGCGAGAATGACGTGGATTTCATCCGTGGAACTGACGGCTTCTATTCAAAATGATTTATTACGAACGTCTTTACCTACAACGCGACGATTATGCAACACTGTCGGCCTAAATAATGGAATAAAGTCGTCATTAAAGGATTCGCTGAAATAATCCACTTAAGAGTGCGGGCTAAGCGTTTTAAAGGATTAGGGAGTGCGTGTGACGCTATTACATAACAACGTGGTACGTGCATTGCCATTACAAACCCGAAAAGAGAAGATTTCCTTTCAGTCGGCG